GCGATTAATAATCTCTCTCGGTCGGAAAATCTCTCAATCTACCTCGAAATTTTGTAAAAATGGTCCCAGAGTAAAGTCGCAAATTTAATTTAACGTCAATACCTAAATTATTTACCGATAAACAATCATTCTCTATCAATAAACCGAAGAAACTCCAAATCCCTCTGAATCCGTCGCAATTTCCCCAAAACGCCTCCAAACTAAAGTCACAAATACAATTCACCGTTGATCCATAAACTCTCGATTAACAATCTCATCTTCAAACCCATAAAAGATTTCCACATCGTCGACCAAATATTCCACCCACGAAATCCCGTTTTTCGACAACTCGTCACTTACCATCTTATCGGTTGATAAAACTTTTTTTCCACGGCCCATAATGGCCGCGGCAGACAAATAAGAAGAGTCCGTCGAGCCTAACCAACTACAGATAATCGATCGAACAATTCGCGACATCCTCTCGTGGAATTTCTGTATTTTCGAAACTCTTCACCAACGATCGTAGCGGTCATTTCGATAACAAGATACCACGACGCATAGGAGCAAGGATCGACGATTGCCGCCGCTTGATAGCTTCTAGCTTCCTAACGGTGTACGTCTACTTGTGTCGACTCAAGTGCTCTGATAGTTTCGATAATTAACATCGCGACTCGATAAAATTATCTTCAGATTTCCAATGAAAATTGCTCGTTTCAAGACGATCTTTCTACCGATTCACGAAATTGCCGCGAGATAGGAGAAACGGTGACGATTTATCGAGTGATCTAGCAAATATTTCTCGACAACAGGTAGATATGTAGTGTACCTGCTCTTGAATAAAGTACGAGAGATCCTTCGATATTCAATATTATTCCTTATCGACACGGCAGAAGCATTATCGCGTGTTACCGACAATAGTGCTTGTTCGTGAATAAATATTAGCGATGAGAAAAGAAAAAATTCCAAATATGTTGAATTATGTAAGAGATCGATCGATAGAAAACTGTGCGTCTCTGACGCAGCGGTACAATAGTTGCTTAACCGGGTATCATTGCAACGGTACCATTGTTTTCTTGAGCAATTATCGTACAATTAAGTCGTCATCGTTCAAGAAATGGCAGGGGAAAAGAATTAATTATATAATGTTTTTCAAAGCATCGGCTAATCAAAATTCTATTATCATGTTTGTCCGATAAACAAGTGCATTAATGTCAATATTGTTCGTACATCTAATTCTTTGCAGGTAGACTTTGCGTCAATTGATTTGGAGGGAATTTGTTGGAGGATTTCTTTTTGTTACTTTTTTTGGGATTTGATTTATTTCCGTGGTTGCTTGTGGAATTATTTTGTAAATCGCAGGTGGATTTGAAATGGAAACGGTGTTTTTGATGTAGAAATTCTGGTGTGGTGATATCTCCTCCTCGATTTACGCACTTTAATCGGTGCAACCTTCGGTAATTCCAGGATTGCAGAAATCAATTCAATCGTTTGTACGTTTTGAACGTGTGAATGGAGATTGTTGTTTGCTTATGGTAGCGTAGTACCGTTTCCTCTTTATTCTTGGCGCTCGTTTAGGTGTGTAAGAACACACCATCTTCTTTATTTGGAATTAATTTGAGGAGTGTGAAGTTTTGTTGTAAATGGAATTTAAAGGGAAGATGGAGAAGCATTTTTGTTTGAGTTACTTGAATCCTACTTTTCTATTAGAATTTTTAAAACTTCAAGTTTTCAAATATTTAAGTTACTAATGCTTAAATATTCAAGGTTTCAGACTTTCAAAATTTTTAATTATCAAAAATTGAAACTTTCAAATTTTCAGAGCTCCATTAATTTTCAAGCCTTTAAGCTTCCAAATTTTCAATCTCTCAAATATTCAAATCTCCAAATTTTCAATCTCTCAAATATTCAAATCTCCAAATTTTCAATCTCTCAAATATTCAAATCTCCAAATTTTCAATCTCTCAAATATTCAAATCTCCAAATTTTCAATCTCTCAAATATTCAAATCTCCAAATTTTCAATCCCTCAAATATTCAGAGCTCCAAATTTTTAAGTATTCCAAGTTTAAAATTTCCAAACCTTTAAGCTTCCAAATTTTCAATCTCTCAAATATTCAAATCTCCAAATTTTCAATCTCTCAAATATTCAAATCTCCAAATTTTCAATCTCTCAAATTTTTAAGTATTCCAAGTTTTAAATTTTCAAGTCTTCAAACTTTCAAATTTACAAAGTTCCAATATCTAAAATTTGCAGACTTTCCAAACCTGAGAAATTCCAAAATTCCAAAATTTCAAAACACACACAGAAAATCGCACTATACTTCTTCCTCTCTCATAAAATAAAAATCTCCGAACTCTCAGCGACCACCATACGGACAGAAACCTCCCAAACTCCACCTCCGAACAGCAATTCACATCCCAACGAACTCGTTTCTCCAAACTACCCACATTTACAACCCAAATTCGCAAGGTTCAACCCTCACGTTCCCTTCGTTCAACTCTCCACCAACCCTTTTGTTCCATACACAACTCTCGTGCACACTTACGTGCCGATATAACCATTAAAAAATCTACTATCGATTTTTCCCTTGGATGCTGAGGATGCAAGACGACTGAAGGGTACAACTCGTGTATTACCAACTTGCATTCCATTTAATCTTCTAACAGTTACGCCATAGATACGCGTTCGGTTGCAACAAACGCTCGAAACGCGCGTGCATACCTTTCCGCGAGATATAGATAACAGATAGATACAGGAAAGAAAATATGGGTTGCACGTGGAAGAAATATCGAGGTTGCAGATTTCACGATGATACGAGTACTCTGAACAACAGAGGGGAAAGTGTCTCCAATGAATTTACCACGAGGGAAAACATTCTTCCACTTCTCTCCCTACTTCTTCGCAAACACTTTTTTTCACTAAACTCTACATTAACAAACATAGTAATTCCTGCAATAATTTTACCAATCTTCATTCTAGCAGCGTAACGAAGTTTCCTTCCGCCGCTTATCGGCACACTCATCGAACTCGAGGAATTAGCCGAACCTTCCTCAAGGAAACGTATCGCTGCCCTTCGGTCGATGAGTTCACAATTCTACGACGCATATACGGTATATCGTTGGAAAGTTCCTCTATTTATCAAGATTTCGCCGTGTACACGCCGCGTTTCGAGCGTTTCCGTTCGTTTCCCTCTCAGACATCGCGGAATATTTATTCACGTTCTGACCGTGTTTCGAGAACGGTCAGCGAATTCGTAGAATGCACCCTTAACGACTTTCGATTCGCTCGCTTGTGTTTTCAACGGGAAATTTTCTAGATCCTACGTGGATCGATAAAATTTCCCACAGGCAATCGAGATAATCGAAGAGTTAAGATACCGGACGATAAGGAAGATAGAGGGAAATTTCCTTCGATCGAAGTTAACGATCTCTGCGATCGAATCGATTCGAGAAATTCTCGTTAACCGCTTTGGAGAACGCGAGACGTACACGCCACTGCGGAATTGTTGGCCTTGACCCTTACTCTCGAGCAACCCTAATCAGAATTCGTTCTCAGGAGGTCGATTGTTCTTCAGAGAGTTCCAATAGAAATCTTCATTCTATGTATATTATAGGTAAGAGGATCGAGTGGAGCAGTGCTTTCGACGATGATTTAGTTGCTTATTGGCTTAATTTCGAATACAGTTTCTTTATGGTGTTTCAAGAAAGATTGGGTTTTAGATTGGAATTTTCGAAAGTGTCATTTCTATGTTGTATTTAAGTTTTCATTGTTTGACGCGATATCGAAGCAGCTGGTCGCTAATCTTGTCTACTAAAAGAGCTGTATGGGGTAAAGTACAAATAGAGCTGTGGACAACCCTTTCGCTTATTTTCTGACGCAGCTTGACTCGTTAGAGATGAAGTGCGTAGGGTTTGAAGGCTGAGGAACATCAACCCCCGGGAAGTTTAATATAATAGATGAATTTTACTGTTATTAGGTTAGTGTGTGGAATCTTCTTCAAAGAGGGAGAATGTAATTCGTGTAATTCGATTGAAATGAGGTCGAGTTTTGGGAATTTGGTCTTGAGAAACTGTGGACTTTTAGGATATTTTATTGGACATCTGAGAAAGTAGAAAATATGTTTTTCGGTGTGGAATAGTTCGATTGTTATAATCTGTGGAGGTACTTTGGTAATCTAAAATTTCGTTGATTCAATTTTTATAATTTCCGTTGAAAGAAATAGGCTATTCTTCGTCTGAATACTGGAAGATTAAATTATGAAGAATTCAACCCCATCGATATTCCCCACGTTAACTGAAAACCACCTATTTTCGTTGATCAATTTCATACAGACACTCCAACGTGACTTTCTAACTTTATTTCAACATTCTAGCAACACCAAAGTGAAACTTCTAATTCTGCCTCGTAACTATTTTTAAAAGCTAAATTCGTCCGTCGTTTATAAATGATTCACACCCTACCTAAAAATTTTCCAGTCCATAAAACGTACTCTGCCACCAAAAAATCGTAAGGAACATATAAATTCGTAACTCTCGATCAGATACTTGATATTCGTCGAAATTTTCGTAGTGTGTAGCATCAACTTTTGACACTGTCTCACAGTGAAAAATCATTCACCGTCGACGGTGTTTCGACGGTGGCACCGATCGTGAGAAATCTTTAAAAAGCGAAACGCGCGTCGCGACGTTCTCCGCGTGGCACATTCAACTGTCGACGTCGACACAGTAAAAAATGATTCCGCGTCGACGGTGGTTCGACGACGGCACCTCGCCGGAGAAACCTTTGAAAAGTGAAACGCGCGTCGCGACGTTCTCCGCATGGCACATTCAACTGTCGACGTCGACACAGTAAAAAATGATTCCGCGTCGACGGTGTTTCGACGGTGGCACCTCGCCGGAGAAACCTTTGAAAAGTGAAACGCGCGTCGCGACGTCCACCGCGTGGCGGGTTCAACCCCCGTCCGCAGCATCGATCGATGATCGCGCGGCCTTGACACGATGCTCCGTGCTCTCTGGTTGCAGGGTCGAGGACTCACGCGGGACGGTCGTTGCATTTTCACCGGCTGGAGGAGTCTCGTTCGTATCTTGTTTGGAGGGAGGAGGTATCGAGTGCGTAACAGAGACAGAGAAACAGAGAGCGAGTGAGAAGAACACGAATCGTCCAGTCGTGCAAGTGGCGGAAGGAGAAGGGAGAACCAGAAGAAGAGAGAGAGAAGGTTTATCGAACGTTCGCGTGCGGTAAAGCGAGTTAGCTAGCCTGCACACGTCCAACACCGTAGCGAGGAGGAGTGTGACCGAGACAGACGTTGTACAGAGACAGAGAGGGAGAGAAAAATGCCTCCCACCCACGACCATGAGGGAAAAGAGGGGCGCTATAAAGAGTATGCCTATAGCCCTGTACCAGAGAGTGCCAGTTCAGCGGTGTACGATTCAACCACCCTTGGAAAATATACCGAGTTTGGTACCGGTTCACCGAGCTATCGTTTCAAGAACGGTGTCCTAGAAAAGTGTCGTGACTCAGATATGACGGAAAAGGGTTCCACGCTACTACAGTATGTCGCTGCGGCTGCAGGTGAGTCCCTTTTCAACCCTTTATGCACACAATTTACACCTCTTGCCTTTCATTTACCACACTTTAACGGGGATGCGTACGTTTCTTTTAGACGCTTCATTTTTAACTTGTCACTGGTTCGTCGATACTTCGGAACGCTGTAGTTTATTTACGAAGGGATTGTTCGGTTTTTAATTATTGTGACGTTGGGCCTGTATTAATCGTTTTTATTACAAATTAAAGAGTAGCTTCGGTTCGAGAGGTGATTTGACAGGTTGGTTATTTAAGGAATTTGTTACGTTTATGTGAGAAAGAAAGTGCAGAGTAGAATTTGTGCTGTTGACATTTGTCGTCTGTTGTAAATTGCAATAAATAAGTGTTTTAATTTTGACATAAGTAACAGTGAATTATAGATACTTCACCCATTGGCACATATTTATTTAATAACGTAAGAGATACCTTTAAGGTTACTTTATTTTACAATAACTTAAAAAAATGTTAACAATCGACACGAAAATGACAACGACTCGACCCTCGCGACTAACTTTCTACGAAACTGGAACACATCTCGAAGGCCAGTAGGTCTGCCGACTCATCCCTTAAAGACGCCGCATCGCGATAAACATCATTTTTCATCGGAATCGATGCGTCGACGTTGCACCTTCGCGAATTTCCCTTATCGATACTGCAGTAGTGTGTAGCGATATCGCAGTGACGTTGAAATCTTGAAATTAGCGTCAATACAACACCTCTTTTCTTACATTTCAAGCACGATCTGCGTCTCGAGTGTGACTTATTAAAAGGCAAGGGGTTAAAATGTGAATAGCTGTGGTAGTAATTAGGATTCTCTAAGGGATACACGTCTTCATTTGAAAGTGAAACTATCGCGAAAAGTGATCAATGCACGCATAATTTGAGAGCGTGAAATCTTTCAAATAGGCACGTACCCTAACGCACAGTCTCGTGGACAGAGTCTAGCGAACCTAACCGCGTGCTGGCACCGTTTCTATTTTCACGTGACGCGCGAACCACTCGGGGATCGTTTTGTTCCCTTTTTTGTCGATATACATAGAAATTTTTCACCGATCAACCCTTCCACTGCGACAGATTTTCATGCGCGTGGCGGACGGTGAATGTTCAACCACGACTGCAAAATCTTTTATTTCGGAGTCTTGAAATTTTTGAGAAAATTAAGGATTAAATTCGCTTGAAAGCATAAATTCACTTGCGAGCAAATATTCAACAGCAGTGAAAGGGTTAAGTGATTTAGCTGCGAGTAATTCCGAGGAGAAACCGAATTATGGAGATCGAAAGTGAACTTTGGTAAATCGTGATCTAACAAGGTTCATATTTCAAATTTTAATTTTTACATATCTTATTATCAGAATGAATATTCAAAATTTTAACTTCAATTTATCAGAATGAAAAAAACGAAAAATCGCAGAATTTCGTAGAAACAGTTAACCAAAGATGCGCGTTCTTGGAAGAAGAAACGAGTGTACCCGAATCGTTCTCAAAGGGTGGAAGCATCCTCAAGCTTCCCCGAGATAAAATGAAAATCTTGTAAGGAAATTTACCGAACCTCCCCGAAGCATCGATGGTATCGCAAGCAGTGCGTGTTAGTACGATACGGATTAGATAAACACCACGATCCGCCAGAGTGGCGGGAAAATTATAAAAAAAAAATAGATACCGTAATGCTGTCTTCGTTCCAGCAAGAGTACGTAAAGCGTCGAGAAAAGAAGTCTCTCCGTTCGATTAAAAATGAAGAAAAAAGAGGAAGAATCGAATTAACAAAAAGTGATTCGTTGCGTCGTTTAATAGAATGACAGTCACATTTCGTTATGACAGCGAGGAACATCGCCTCGAATGGAATTATCGCGATTTCCAGCGAAGCCGCGTGGGACAGCGTAGGACGAAAGGAGACGTTAATCGGAAGAATTCGCGCGCCGTTTCTTAGTTCCTTAACAATGATCGCGACTGACGTTAAACGAGCACAATTCAATTGTAATTTATTCATTAGCATACGATTAACACGTGTGCAGGATGACACGCGTCTGCAAAAAGATCAAAGAAATTTATTGTTTCACGGATCTTCGATTGTTCGTTTCCGATATCACGTTTATCGAACTATCTGTCGATAAATTCATTGTTAATTGGAACGTCAATTTTACGATCACCGCGTTGATTCGCGGAGAAATAAAAATCATGTCGATTCATGGAGAAATAAAAATCGTCGACGTGGTTTTCACGAGAAAAACACGGAAAGAACGTAAACAGCCGCGGATTCTTTCGTCGCGTGCGTTCTAAAACAGATTTGGCTCGATACACGCGAGATACGCGCTTTGGCACTTGCTCGCGACCAGTTCACTTTGAGAAGGTACGAGGAATTATGGTAGGGAAACGTGGAATGGATATTTCTGCTTCACTATCGACGTCTTTTTCAAAGGATTATTCAGATGGAAATTTAGTTCCGTGTTTCGTAGTAATGCACAATTGCATTTGCATTTGTCGATGAAAAAAACGATCTACCTTCTCTTCGATTGTACGAAAACGAATCGAGAATATATTCTGCTGTTTCGTAGCAGTGCACAGTTGCATTTGCATTTGTCGATCTACCTTCTCTTCAATTAAACGAGAAAGAATTGAAATTTACTTTGCTAATTCGTAGTAGTGCACAATTGCATTTGCATTTGCATTCGCCGATGAAAGAAACGATCTACCTTCTTTTCAATTCAACGAAGAAAAATCAAAAATTTTACCTGCTCTTCAATTAAACGTAAAGGAATTGATAATCTATTCCGCTGCTTCGTAGTGGTGCACAATTGCATTTGCATCTGTCGATGAAAGAGATGATCTACCTTCTTTTCAATTAAACGAAGAAATTACGTTGCTGTTTCGCAGTAGTGCACAATTGCATTTGCATTTGTCGATGAAAGAGACGATGCACCTTCTTTTCAGTTAAACGAAAAATACTCAAAAATTTATTTTCCCGTTTCATAGCAATGCACAATTGCATTTGCATTTGTCGATGAAAGAGACGATCTACCTTCTTTTCGATTAAACGAAAAAAGAATAGAAAATTTATTCTGCTGTTTCGTTGCAGTGCACAATTGCATCTGCATTTGCATTCGTCGATGAAAGAAACCATCTACCTTCTTTTTAACTAAACGAAGAAAAATCAAAAATTTACTTCACTCTTCGATTAAACGAAAAAGAATCAAGAATTTATTTTCCTGTTTTATAGCAATGCACAATTGCATTTGCATTTGTCGATCCACCTCCTTTCCACTTAAACGAAAAAAGATCTACAAATCGAACGATCTCTCAAACTTCCTCTTCCACCACAAAGTGAAAACCACACACTAACAGAAATTGCAAATGAACGGAATAACACTCACGAATGGGAACTTTCTTCCTCACATCTCAGACTTGGCACTCTACCATCGCTGCTTCGACTAATCAATCACTCTATTCGCGACAGTAACGAAAAATGAATTCGCAAAACCCTCCGTCAATTTTCCCCAGCAAAAGTTTGCCACAATCTAAACGCTCCAACTCCATATCGCAGATACACGAATTAACAATCCCTCGAACAATTATCAAATCTGGCACGATCGAAGTGCTCCTCATCGTCGAGCTATTCTCGGTTGTCTCGTGTCGCGAGTATCGATCTAGCACGTGGATTAACCCGCGGAGAAACGACCATCGGAAACCCAACGTTACGAATTCACCGTTCGTCTATCTTCACAGAGTTTGCCCCTCGTAAAATCATAATCGTGCACACGTGTGTGAATATAGAAATTCCTGGTGGAATTGCGTAATCAGCGGGGTTTTATAGGAGTAAACAGTGGAAATCGCTTTCCAAGCCTGACTAAACGATGAAATACAGTGAAATTGTGCGGATGCCTGGAAAATAGGGATAGAACTGCAAACAGTCACCGCGATTTTCACGGTCAACAAGATTTATCGCTGTTGCGTAAAGCAATGAATTACATCGAGTTGGAGACTGTATTTGGACTGTTGAAAATAAGATAGCGATGATACCGCGATGGTGACAATAGTGTTTTACTCGAATCAAACTAAGCGTGGAATTTTCAACTCTTCTGTAAATTTGCCTTGCTTATTGGATCGTGTTTTAATGCTAGATTTAACGTACGTTAGAGTCGTATGTGTTTTATTTCGATTTTGTTGGCGATTGTAGGTATTTAAAAGAATACCTGCGCTTGTGTTATAAGCGTTGCAGCTTTTCAACCCTTTCGTGACCAGTTGGACGCATACGAGTCCCGGCCGAGCGTACTCGAGGAAAAATTCATATCGATTTAGTGTCCATTGTGAAAATTGAATACAGTACTTAAAAATACACGAAGAGAGTAATTTAGTCGGGAAATTTTCATATGCATACCTCGATCTTAGTCGTTGCGTGTATTGGAATAAACTTCCTTCAATTTTTGAGAGAAATTATTTTGATTGTTAATCCAACTGCTAATCTTCACATTCGATTCCGAATTTGCAACTCGAGAAAATCTCTTTTTCACATTCAGAATCCGAGCATATCTTATTATAACTATTCTAACTTCAACATTTCATCGCGTAAGCGTTTAGGCATCGATTCTACTAATTTCACTTACTCTAACTTCAAGTAGAAAAAGCAGAAGGCATTTCATTAATTAACTACGAATAAGAATCGCGCACATAGCGTTCAATTTTCTATCTTAAAGTTAACTTGTCCTATCTCATAAACTACTTGAAGTTAACCGCGTATGCAATCAGTACCCGCAGTCCACTCTGTATTCCTGAGAATCAGAGTGTCCACGGGTACGCGTAGTTCTCAGCTTGGTGTCCCTTTCGAAAGATTTTCATTTTTGGAAAAGGATACCAATTACCAGGTCCCACCACGAGGAGGTGACTACGCAAGGGACCCGACAAAAACAGGGGCCCTACTGGCAACTCTCAGAGATACGCGTTTCTCATTCGTAGTAAAAAGGAAATTGACACTTTGTTCAAAAATTCCTGTCTTT